GTTTGTTTGTTTGTTGGGGTGTTGGGTTGTTTGTTTGTTTGTTTGTTGGGGTGTTTGTTTGTTTGTTTGTTTGTTGGGGGTGTTGGGGTGTTTGTTTGTTTGTTTGTTTGTTTTTTGTTGGGTTGTTTGTTTGTTTGTTTGTTTGTTTGTTTGTTTGTTAACCTCCACGGTCAAAGATAGGAGAGGCGGCCCCATGGTCCTTCAAAACGGACAAAGAGGCAGCATGCGCTGACAAGAGAAATGTCAAGTCTTGCAGGATGTGGTGAAAAGTGGGGCACTGTTCGCCAAGCGAGGCTATGACACGATTTCCCTGCTGAAACGGTGTCATAGAGAATGTTTTGTTGGCTTATTAAGCCAGTTTCTGTTTCTTATTCTGTGGCTAGTTTTACCTCTGAAAAGATTTGACGTCTATTTGTAAATTTATGTACGGGGGTGAAATCAAGGGGTTTATGTAGCCTTGTGTGGCCTTTCTGAAGTATAACCACTCCCTGCCGGGGATTCCAGATCCAAACACGTATGCTTTATATGAATGACTGGGGTCTCCGAACTCGGACAAAGGAAACAGGACCTTGTAACAAAAGGCCGAGTATACTCGGAACAAAAGACCAGGCTGCTGGGAATTACCGGCATTTTTTTCACTCTCAAAAGTGGAAATAATCCAGCCTTGTTTTGAAACAGGATACCACGGTTTTGGGCATTTAGAGCAAGTCGATTACCACCGGGGACAAAAGGCTCCACCATCGCAGCGATGAGCCACACAGCACTGCTGCATGCTAATCTGGCCCTTGTTAAAATGAGGTCAACAGCACACCGAGCTAGGTTCGTGAACAAAAGAAAATTATATAACACCGCACAATCTTTGCTCTTTTTACAGGGCTGCAGGCCTGGCTGCAATACTCAGGCGTCAATAGATTTTGTCTGTCAGGCTAGAGGGGCCACCAGACAGTCCTTAACATGTTTGTAAGTGTCCGGTAAAAGAAGATAGGAATTGTTAAAGTATTTTGAAAACAGAAAAAAAATGATAAATATCCCGGCCCAGCATCATCAACATTGATAGTTGCCCCGGCAGGAAGTGAATAAGGCTAATTTTTAGACCTTGTACGCACTTATGTAAGGAAGGGAAGTAAAGAAAAACCCAGAAAATCACCTTTCTCCTCTATCTATTTTTAATTACCCTTGAAGTCTGCTCCCCCCTTTGGGTCTGCCAATTGTCCCTCTGACGTGTTTAACTCCATGGACAAACCAAGGAAGACGGCGACAGCAGAACAGAGAGCCCCTCAAAAGCCTTGCACAACAGTCTGTACAGTGTGTAACCAGCTACAATCCTGGACAAAATAGTCCGAACACCTTGTGGGAGGTGCGGTGAAAAGATTCCCCCTCTCCCCCATCAAATGTTGTGATCACTGATTGGACCAAGATTCGGCACATCTTACCCGATGAGAAACAATATTGACAGGGGACGAAGGAGAGGAATGTTCCAACGAGATTTGCCCAGGATTGTTGGCCTATTGCGGGCTAAACCGTAGGATTCCACTTATAATAATCCCATATCGCATGATAGAGGCGCATGCCCTACAGTGGGTATCAAACATCAATCAACATGGCGTCCTCCAATAGGAAATTGTGTTTTTAAGTGTCGTTTACCATAAATAAAGCCTATCTTCGGTATAGTACTCGACACCTCAGTAGACTGAGTACTTGACCGACCGTCGGCTTCATAGATATGGTAAATGACACTCATAACACACTTTTCTACAAGAGGACGCCATGATTGTTGCTGTTTGATACCCACTGACTTAGTGGGTGCATGTGTATTACCGTTTATACCAACAGTCTTGCATATTATTCCTTGTTTGACAACTTGTTTGTGAAATTGGATGAGTGATGAACCTCGGAAGCGATTAAGCAGGATCTGGGCCACAACACAATTCTGCCAATTTCCTGCTGGAATGAATAAGTTTCTAAATAACGGACAAAAACACGCAACTGTTTGGGTAATTGATACTCCGGTTCCAGTAATCGATATATGAATATAGCTAGGAATTGGTTGAAAAGTGCAGCTGACTATTTCTTTACTAGCGTGTCGCACTTTCGGGTACAGAAGCTTAAGTGACTGTCCATGTTACTGAGTTACTGAGTTAATTTATCGTTGAAACAAAGAAACATAGGCCTACACTGGATAACACTGATTTCATAGATAAATTCCCCGAAACACAGAAGATACATTATAGTTCAATTCTGTGTTTCAGCGATACGTCATCTTTGAAATCCGTATTTCCAAGAAACATTATAACTGACTTTGTGTTTCCGAGATGCATTATCGTCGATTCCCAAGATATATTATGTTTGAAATCCATATTCAACAGATTAACATTGAAACATTGAATCTGTGCAACCAGTGCTATACAGTGAATTTTTCTATGTTTCCATGATAAATTTAATCAGTAACGAGGTAACAAGGATGGTCATTTAAGCTTCTGTATTCGGGTGTTTTTGTTAATGTTTCTTTTATTTTTTTTTACTTCACATATTTGTTTCATACTGAGGAGAATCCTCAGCCCATAAAAGAATTGTGACATTACAGTTTTGGCGTGTTCACCCGCAAGTACCACAATGCATGCTATTTCTGGCTGATTAAAATCAGCAACATACAATACAATACTCTTTGCTTTTTTTAAACAGCAGAATATGGGAAAAAATATT